CTGATAGGTTAGCATTAATATATTGTTATCAAACCTAGAAAAAGAATTATGTACTAAAAGACGATAAAAGATAGAAAATATCATATATAAACAAAGAAATTATGTATAATAATGGGTTAGAAAAACACCAAAATAAAACATGAAATAATTGCTTGTGTGGTTTGTTGAAAAAACAAAGAGAGTTAAGGGATCATTTATGTAACTTGTATGATTCATAAATAAGAATGTGGGGGCTTTTCTAGATTTCAATTTCAATAAAATGATCAATAAAAGAAGTTAGGCGCGTATTATGGAAATTGTTAATCTAAAAACTGCATATAAAAGGAATCGAACACGGGGCTATTGAAAAAAGGTGAAACAAGTAATGAAAGAAATTATTAATCTAAAAACTGTGCATATAGAAGGAATCGAACATGGGGACCATTTATGTAACTTGTATGATTTGTAAATAACCAAGAAGAATGTGGGGGCTTTTCTAGATTTCAATTTCAATAAAATGATCAATAAAAGAAGTTAGGCGCCTATGAAGGAAATTGTTAATCTAAAAACTGCATATAAAAGGAATCGAACACGGGACTATTGAAAAAAGGTGAAACAAGTAATGAAAGAAATTATTAATCTAAAAACTGTGCATATAGAAGGAATCAAACATGGGGAAATTAAGAAAAGATGAAACGCTTACCACCGCTGCTAACCAATTCATCTACTTAAACATTTTGTAACTCTTTTGATACAAATCAGTTATATATATATATATATATATATATATATATATATATATATATATATATATAAATAAAATATCAAACAACATTAATTTGGGGCCCCAAACCGTAGTGAGGCCCGGGGCCGTCGCCCAACTTGCCCGCCCTATTGGGCCGGCCCTGGTTGCATCATTACGTTTAAAATAAGGTAGCTAGATTGGCTTAAGAATCCTAATAAGTCATTAAATTGTTTTTCTTTGTTTTGGTTAGTATCTCGCTAGTCATTCTATATAAAATTTGGTTGATTGTTAAAATAAAAATTTTCTTTGTTTTGGTTAGTATCTCGCTAGTCATTCTATATACAATTTGATTGATTGTTAAAATAAAAATAAAAATAATAGATCTTTTTTGAAACGGCGAAATTTTATAAAAAAGAAACAAGGGTCGAAGCCTTACAAGGAAAAAGACTTGGCAAACAACTAAGCTAAATCACAACCCCAAAGCAATACAAACCCCCACACCCCCCGCCCAGGGCAAAGCTACAAGACACTAAACGGGGAACAACACCAATTCGCCCAATTACAATTGCCAAAATTACCCCTATGTTTAACCCACCCAAAGACCATAGATATAATGTTGTCCACAACTTTAGCAATGGTTGTAGGCACCTGATTAAAAAGCTTATCATTCCGGCCCTTCCAAATACACCACAGACCTCCGTACAATATGGCAAGAAAGACCTTCCTTTTTTTTTGGGCAGTTCCCCCACTTAGCAGCAAAATTCAAACGAAAGGGACATCATACCACTTAAAAATCCACTTGAACACCTCCTTAGCGAGATCGTAAGCAATAAGCAAGTGATCTGTATCATCCACACCATTAATGCAAAAGAGACACCTCATAGAAGAAACACCCACACCCCTCCTTGAAAGAGCCATGGAGGAAGGAATTGATGGGTTTTCTACAAACAATCTTATGTGTACATGCAACACTAGAATTAGATCTATGTTTTCACTATTAGTTACACAACATTATGAGCACATAATAAAACCCTAATGAGTCATACTATTTTCAAAATTCACCAAGAAGATTAGAATACATACCTTTTGTTGTTATATAGTAATAACAACTCAAATCCTCCTTGTAATGGCTTTAGAAAGCTTAGAGTCACAAGTGTCACTCATCTAATGGCTCACAAACACCAAGAGTAAGAGGATGAAGAATGATAAGAGAGGAGGCACCCAAAAACGTGTGGAAACCCTAAGGAAACTCTTAGCCACGTTTTTGGTGCTCTAGGGATCCTTAAATAGTGAGGCTATTAGGGTTATCTAACAAGGAAACCCTAATTTGACTTCTTAAGCCCTAACCAACCCATGAACTTCCTCCTTAGAGGCCTAGGATGATTTCTAATGGGTTTCCCCATAGAATTTGTCCACCCCTCTAATATGGAGTCCATTAGCCTAATATTCAACTATCATACAATTGACAGTTCTAGTCCCTTAAGTTTAATTAATGTCTTTTAGTCACAAAATTAATTCTTAATTAATTATTGACTAATATTAATTAACCAATATGATTTCTCCTTTAATATATTATTCTCATAATATATTAATAAATCATAATTAATCCTCTCTCTCCATAATTCATCCTATCAAGTTGCTTTGGTGAAGGCAACCCAAAAGGAGCATGCACCATCGGGTCAATTACATACCAAAATAGTTATGAACTTAGACACTAATCCAACAGGGATACCATCCAAACTAGCCCTCCAAACAAAGCAGATTATTTTTAAGGGGACAAGATTCACCCAAACGGTTGTACTATTAGTCCCAACGGTGACTTTGGAGTCGATGAGCTTACGAATGTCTCTAACATAGAACTGCCCATCACTAGAAAGTTTGGATTTCCAAGAGTCAGGATCCGAGGACAAGGTAACCCCATCGAGGAGCCGACAGAGTTGGGCCAGTTCTATCATCTCCACGAGAAGGCTGGGATTTTTCCTTTAAGCCCATAAAAAACCATTCGAAGAAAATCTTTCTGCCAGAAAACAAGACTTACGTTTATCCAAGGCATATAATTTAGGAAACCTAAAAGCCAGATTTCCATCACCAATCCAATTATCAAGCCAAAACAGGGTATTCCGCCCCGATCCAATTTTGGTGGATACGAGTCGAGGCCCATCTCTCCCAAAATTCTCGAAATAGATACCAGATTATTCCAAACACCAGGGATAGATCTCTTGGACAGATTATAAATTGGTTTGCGAGAAAGATTATGAATCCCACAAATAACTTGCTTCCATAGAGAAGAATTATCCAATTTTAACCTCCATATCCATTTACATAATAAAGCAATATTAAGGCTCTTAAGAGAGCCAACACCTAGACCACCCAACTCTTTATCCGCAAGAACATGCTTCCATGCAACCCAACAAATTTTGTTTTTCTCATCCGTCCCACCCCAAAGGAATCTTCTACGAATCTTCTCCAACAAATCAATAATGGAATTAGGGGCCTTAAAAATCAAAAAATAAAACAGAGGCATGCTTCCAAGAACTGACTTAACCAAAGTCAATTTGCCTCCAAAAGAGAGGGTCTTGGATTTCCAACTCGAAAGCTTACCTTGCACCTTATCAATAACTGGTTTCCAATTTCTTTTAAGGTTCATGTTAGCCCCAACGGGAACACCGAGATAAACGAATGGGAGGTTGGCAGCCTCGCACCCCATAATATTAGCGCAACTTACAACATCATAATTGTTAATACCTATCCCATAAACCTTTGACTTGTGAAAGTTAACATTTAAACCAGACACCACATGAAAACATTTAAGGATTCTAGAAAGGTTCTTGAAGTTTGAGAGGGACCAGTCACCGACTAATAAAACATCATCCGCGTAAAACAAATGAGAGATGGAGGGACCATTGTTTGGAAGAGAAATACCCGAATACAAGGAATTTTGGATCGCCGATCTCATAGCCACATTAAGACCTTCCATAGCAATGATGAAGAGAAAATGTGATAGCGGATCACCTTGACGAACTCCTTTAGTGATGGAGAATTCATTTGTAGGAACACCGTTGATTAGAACAGACGCCCTAGAAGAATCAAGGGAACCTCGGATCCAAAACCTCCATCTATTTCCAAAACCCATTTGATACATCACCGAATCCAAATAATTCCAATTTATGGAATCAATGCTTTATCAAAATCTACATTAAAAAGAAAGGTTCCTCTTTTAGAATGTTTCGCCCAACTACATATTTCGTTTATAATCATGGGCCCATCCAAAATGTTACGACCTTCAATGAATCCCGATTGCACTTCATCAATCACGTTGCCTATCACGCGCTTTATCCGGGCAGCAAAGATCTTGGAGATAATCTTATGAAGGCTGCAGATCAAGCTAATGGGGCGATAGTCATTGAGGGTAAGTGGATCCTTCACCTTAGGAACAAGAGTGATAAAAGAGGCGGTGCAACCTCTAGCTATTCTGCCACCGGCTTCAAAGTACTTAACAAAGTTCATTATGTTAATTTGTTATATTTGTTTTACAATAGAAATATAATAACTCATCGCCAATCCATGTATTCCATGTATGATACAGTCGATTCGAACTGGTGAGTTACCAAATTCATGAGCTCTTATAAATTTCACCTGAACACGACTATAATTAATTGCAATATAATTTCAGTATATAATTTCGTCGAAGAAACGAATGTAATATAATTCGTTAGAAAAATAATTCAAATCTCGAGAGAAGGTTTTTTCATGAATTTGCTTAAAAAACAATCAAACATCGCAATAATTATTTTGTTTATAATATATTTGAAATTACCCTCGGGATCGTTTATTTCATTTAATAACACATTAGCATGGACCACAACGCGTTACAATCGCAACTGTTTTACACCCGACACTGTAGTGCCATAAAGAAAAATAAAAAAACACACACAGACCTAAATGAAGCTTTTATTAAATTAATATAACCCACTAAAATAAAGAACAATAGCCTGGAAGGAAAGTGGTTTCACGCGCTACTCCATGTGCGCGTAGGTAAATTCAAGGGGATATTGCATGGATCGTGTCTACGAGTCCAAATACGTTGGCTTACAATTTACGTTAGCTTTAAGCTACACCGCCGGCGTCGTCACCGGCCGTCAACTTCCCTCTTATCAGATCCTCGTTCGTTGACACCCACAAAATAATAACTCCTCTATAAAACCTTTTCCAGAACAACGAAACCAGACTGATTTACAAAACCCAGATTCAGGCATAAAGAAATTTAACGGTGTTTATTTGGTGGTGGCGGCGGTGTGAACTACCATGGCCTCGTCAAGCGGAGGTGTTCCGCCAGGGTTCCGGTTTCATCCCACCGACGAAGAACTGTTACATTACTACTTGAAGAAGAAGATTTCATTTCAGAAATTCGATATGGATGTTATTCGAGAAGTCGACTTGAACAAGATTGAGCCATGGGATCTTCAAGGTATTTAAACTAATGAATTTCTCAAAAATGTATATTTATGTATGTATGTATGTATGAACTGAAGCGGAATAGAATTTATGAACAAGAAAATAAATGAAAACGAATCAGTTGAGTTTACTTTTAGTATAAAGTATCGAGTTCTAGTTTATGTGTTTGAATATTTCATATGAAAAATGAATAGATAAAATCATACAACATATATATAATGAGTTTTAGGATAATTTATACCTAAATTCATTTTTTTTTTTTTTTTTGTTTTAAAGGTATGATATATATGTTAATTTAATTTCTATTTCAATGAATGAATTTTCAAAATAATAATTAAATTCCATAATTTACTATACTTTGTGAAATAAGAACCATAATTACCAAGAGTTTTTGATCATAATAGTGTGATTAAAAAAGTATTTACCATGCTTTTAAAAATATTTACTAAAATAGTATTTCATTTCATTTTTCTTTATTTTTCAGATTTCCTTAATATTTTTTATTTTAAATATCCAGTTTTTTTCTCTTTTATTTTATATTTTTACTTTTTGTTAAATAACAATTTTTATTTTAGTTATTTTTTTACCATTTTTTTACTGTTTTTTTTTTAACTAAAAGTTTTCTTTATCATTTTTATTTCTTTTATTTTCTTTTTAATTTTAAATATCCATTATTATTTATAGTATATAAAATTCTTTTAAAAGAAATGCTAATTTCACTTTCATAAGTATAATTAAGTGGCCCAATTGAGTAGTGCTTTAGTTTTCTAATACGAATTTGAAGATGTTTGTTATTTTAGTTTTCATATCATTAAACGATTAAATATATTTTCATAGAAAATCAATAAGCATAGAACATGTGTAAAAAGTTTATATAATTCAATAGGATATAATGTTTTTTTTTTCCTTTAAAATTAAATGGATTTGTTTTTATGTAGTTTGCATTAAACAACCAAAAACCGGCATTTAATATAAATTACCGATTCAAGGAAAAGGAAAAGGGGATCTAATTATTTCTTTTCACGACTTTAACATTACACATATAATGTTTTTAAGATAAAAAAAACTCAACATTGTTCGTTAAAAAAAATACAACAATAAAAAAATAGAATACATGACATATTCTATTATCTTGTATCTTTTGTTTATTTATTGTTTTATTCCATTCATCCAAATAAACATTAAAATTAATTTTATTTGTTTTGTATAATTCAGTGTTATGGATTTTTCTTTTTGGTAAAACACTAAATTATGTAACTAGTTACTATATTTTATTTTACTAATTTTATATCAAATTAATTTTGTAATCAATTACTACAATATGATACAATCATATTGAATTCGCTACCAATTTATTACTTTTTTTTACCATATTGATTGCATATTTACAAAATAAAATAGTATTATATACAACATCCTTACATGAAAAAAATAATTATGCCCCCTTTACACATGCTCTACCCTTATTGATTTTCTACTAAAAGATATATCATTGTTTAATTATATGAAAACTAAAATAAGAAAACGTCTTCAAATTCATATTATATGATATTAGAAAACAAAAGCACTACTCAATTGGGCCACTTAATTATACTTATAAAAGTGAATTTAGCTTATCTTTTTAAGTATTTTTACATAATATAAACGATAATTGATATTTAAAATTAAAAAGAAAAAAATTAGAAATAAAAATGAGAAAGAAAACTGTAAGTTAAAAAACAGTAAAAAACGGTTAAAAAAACTAAAATAAAAATTGTTATTTAATAAAAATAAAAAGGTGAAATTAAAGAGAAAAAAATTGAATATTTAAAATAAAAAGTATTAAGGAAAACTGAAAAATAAAGAAAAATGAAAAGAAATACTATTTTAGTAAATATATTTGAAATGATACTAAATGGTAAATATTTTTTTTATTCACCTTATTATATATACTTTTTCAATCACAGTATTATACTTTATTCAATCCCCTTATTACATAAGATGTGATGATCACCCTAATCATGTGGATTTTAATTCTCTTGTTATTTAAGAAAGGATTTAATCAAATAATTTTGGAAAAAACAAACTTTCCTTAGAAATTTTGTAAAATAGTTTTGATTTAGTATAAATAATATTAATTAATAAAATAGAAATTGTATATAAAATCTACTATCAAACATTAATAAAATAGAAACTGTATCAGTTACATAATTTCGTTTAACTTTGTCCAAAGTTAGAACTTAAAGGTTAATTACGGGATTTCGAATAATTAATTACCTTGAAAAATATCTTCTAAATTTTTAATTATGAAGATTGGAGAATTTAAAAATCCATTTTAAACATGCAAAAATATATACAAAATAAAGAATCTAGTTGATAAATTTGTACAAAATCTCTATTCTAATAAAAGAATATGTTTATTTTCATTTTGTTATGTCTCGTTCTATAGCCTCCTAATTAATGTCTTATTATTTGTTAATCAATTTATTCTTCATTTCAAATTTCAAAATTTTCATTATAATTATATTAAATTAATAAAATTAGAATAAAATTCATAAAGATTATAATAGGATATAATTTCATTTACTTATTTAAATCAAAGATTATAATTTTATATAACTAAAAAAATATTTTTTAATTAATAATTTATTTAAAATGTTTTATTTAAAATAATTAATTAATAATTTTAAGTTTTATTTTGAAAATTTAATTAATTTTATAAGCGGGTTTTCATGGTTATTTTACCTCTGATTTAGTTTTACTTATAGCGGTAGTAATTCCTTAAATTCCATAATCAAATTGCATGTATATATATCATTAAACAATTAAGGTCTATCTTGTGTTCAATGTGATACAATATTTTAGATTAAACTCTGTTACATATAATTAAACGGCGACATGACGATTATATTTATGACAGAGAGATGTAACATCGGGTCGACACCTCAAAACGAGTGGTACTTCTTCAGCCACAAGGACAGGAAGTACCCGACGGGTTCGAGAACGAATAGAGCAACGAATGCTGGTTTTTGGAAGGCAACTGGGAGAGACAAATGCATCCGAAACACTTTCGAGAAGATTGGTATGAGGAAAACGCTTGTGTTTTATCGTGGTCGAGCTCCTCATGGCCAAAAGACCGATTGGATCATGCACGAGTATCGATTAGAAGATAACGAAGATCAACATGATCCGCTCAATTCCACCCTCACGTCTCCTGTAAGTTAATTATATCGATCTCTAGCTATACCATCATCCAGGAAATCTGAGCTAGTGTTTTCTTGAATTTTCACAATGTTTTAAATTCCTGCAGGAAGATGGATGGGTGATTTGCAGGGTGTTCAAAAAGAAGAATCTGTTCAAGGTTGGAGGAAACGAAGGGTCAAGAGGTAGCAGTGGGTCCGATCAACTTAACCATGGTTCGAATCAACCTGGTTCTTTTTCGCACCCTAGGGTTGAAAACCATCATCAGTACTTACCATACCATCAAGAACAGCACCAACAGCTACAAACCTTCGTCGATCTTGGGCTTAACCATGGCCACCTTCCGCACCCTTATCCACATCTCCAAGCTCAAAACTTCATACCGACCCACAAACCGTTAGGCTATGATTTTTCGAATCTACCATCGGAAGATTCACCGGTGATGGTTAAACAATTGATGTCAAACCATGGTGATTGTGATAGTGGAAGCGGCGAGAACCAGCAGCTTCCTGTTGGTTACCAAGGTTGTGAGCCTGGTTTAGAGGCCGGAACCTGTGAACCACCTGAACGCATGGTTAATGCTGCTGGAAACGAGTGGGGAATGATGGACAGGATCGTGACTTCGCATCTTGGTGCTGCAGCCAATGAAGATGGAAGTTCGTCAAAAGAGTTGGTGAGATATGAAAATAATGCAAATGCATCATCATCTTCATCAATGCAACAAGTCAATCAATTGCCATTGCGGGGAGAAATGGACTTTTGGGGCTACGGGAAGTAGTCAAATATACATATATACTTGTATCTTAATTTTCTTTGAAATTGTGGATTAGATCTTCAAATGAGGATTTCTCTAACCATATGAAATTACCAATACTTCAATTATTATGACTAATTCTGTATTCAATTCTATATAAGTAATATGAAGGAGATGATGTTATAAAAAATGCTCATATTTCATTATGTAACCGCTCTGTGGCTGAATTGTAATGAGTTAGGTTACCGGATATACCAGTAACATTGATGGGGGTGTTGATGATGTGGCACCATCACCATGGCATGCACACCACCTCCAATGGTGTGGGCGGGTGTCGTCATATACAAAAACTTTCTTCCTCTTTCTTTCTATTCCCCTTCGCTTCTGTTGTCTTCCTCTTTCAATGACCTTCAAGTGATTAGAATGAGAAAACAATCCCCTTCTTCTTTGTGGTGGTGTGAAAACTGATGTGGAAAGAGATGGTTGTGTGAGGCATTTGAGTATATCTTATAGCCTTAGAGCATAAGCTATGGGTGTTGTTTCTCGTTATTGGGGATGCGGAGGGGGATAACGGCGTCACAACGAGATGAACCCCCCCCCCCCCCAATCTCATTTATCCGCATCGTAGCCTTTCTCGTTGCTGTCTCCACCCAAAGAAACGAGCAAAAATAAATCGACCGTTACACTTCAAACCATTTGAATACGGTTAATTTACTAATAATAAAAACTTTAAAATTAATTATTCTTTTTCCTATATAAAATCCTATTATATCTAAACAATTTTTTATACACATAACTTCTCTCTTTCTCTCTATAATCTCAATTATCTTCAAAAAAAATTATGGATCCTTTCGACTTGTCCGATGATTCCGATGACGATATATTCTTCATGATGATGTATCAGTATTATACTAACGAGCTGCTATAACCAGACTCAGTTCCACTACTAAAAAAATGTGCGACATTAAACAGAAATTGTAAGGAAGGACACGAGCATATATATCGCGATTACTTTGCGGATAATTGTGTATACGGGTCGAAGTACTTCAAAAGAAGATTTTGTTTGAGTAGGAATGTGTTCCAACGGATCGCCAACGCTTTGGAAAGCTGGTAGCGCTTATTTACTATACTTTTATACAAAAAAAAAAAAAAAAAAAAAAAACTAGTACATGTTTCTGTAATTTTACTACACATGCAATATATTTTTAAACTGTAGTTAAATTATGTTTAGGTATGAATTTTTCCAATTGAGATATGATGCTAGAGGTAGACGATGGTTTACAACGTTGCAGAAATGTGTTGTGGTCATTTGTTTGATGGCTATGGGGGAGTCACCGGACACCATGGACGACTATATGAGAATGTCCGAAAGAATCGTAAGAGAGAGTTTGTATACATTGTCAAGGGGTGTTGTTGAAACATTTGAAGACATGTATTTACGGAAACCTTCGTTGCATGATTTGCAAGAATTGTATGCGGCATATGAAGAACGCCATGGGTTTCCGGAATGATCGGAAGCATTGATTGCAGACCCTGGAAATGGAAAAATTGTCACGTAGCATAGAAAGGGCAATACGCAAGTGGTCATCACGGATCGCCTTCGTTGGTTTTAGAGGCTGTTGCTTCTCAAGATTTATGGATTTGGCATGTATTTTTTGGGGTTGCAGGTTCCAACTACAACGTCAACATTCTTGATCAGTCGCCAATATTCGACGATCTTTTGAATGGAAAGTCCCCGAATACTCCTTTCACGGTGAATGGAAACGAATACAAATATGAATATTACCTTACAGATGAAATATATCCTCAGTATTCCACATCCGTGAAGACATTCCGTCATCCGGTTGAAGAACGAGACAAATTTTTTAAGAGAAAACAATAAGGAGTACGTAAGGATGTGGAACGTGCTTTTGGAGTGCTGAATGCAAGTGGCATATAGTTGAACATGCAGCACAACCATTGGATTTAGAAACTCTACGATATATCATGTATGCATGTATCATAATGCATAACATGGTAGTAGAAGATAAAAGGAGAAATATTGCACACTATATCCCAACGGAGCCCAGACAGGTTCAGTTTCAACCAAGAACAACAGAGTATTTGCATCGAGTTGTTGACATTCAGGACGCGAATAAATACAGACAACTTCGAGAGGACTTGACGGATTATATCTTTTATGGTAACAATAACGATAACGAATAGGGTTTAGTGTTTAAAAAAGTATTTTTTTAACGAATAGCATTGTACTTTTATTTTTATTTTTTGGAATTTGGATGTAATGTGTAATTTAATTTCTATGTTAATTTTAATCTTTAAAAATTGTTTTTATTATATGTTATTTATAATTTTTAAGCATTATGTTTTATTTATTATGTTATAGTTAAAAAAATATTTGTCTAAATTAAAAAAAAAATTCAAAAAATATATATATAAAATGGAAAAAAGTTGGTGTTATATCAAGAAACAACATGGTGATCATTTCCCCACTTGGTGTTATAACACCATTGGTGATGTGGTATGTAAAGTGGCACCAAAATGATGTTATGATTAGTTGTCCATACCTTATACTCTTAAAAATAAAAAATATTTACAAACTTTCTATATAAAATTTAGGGTAAGAGGGGGTCCATGCAGCCCACTAAAAACATTGTGCATATTCCACTAATCGCCGCAATGCATTCATAGTTTTTTAACTGCATCTTAAAAGATGAATACATGAGAGTACACATAAAGCTTTCTTGCGGATTGAATGATTAATTACAATCAACAAGAACACAAAAAACAAAGAAAAAAACTCCATACCAATTATGTTTTGCAATGGGCTGGTTTGAATCATAAACGGGTTGATCTGTTTAATTAAATGGGTTGGAAATCTCCATCAAACCAAACTTTTTTATGTAAATGGGTTAAGATTCCCAATCCAAGCCAACATTTTTAGTAAATGAGTTAATATACGGTCATACTTATTGTTTTCTTAACCCAACTTATATAATAAATAAATGAAACCCGGATTGATCCATTTAAAATTTCAAAAAAAACACCCTTAAAAATCAAATAATGTAACGCACGTAGATCCGGGCTAGTTAATTTAGAGATGATAAGCATCAAAAATGACTTTTTGATAGAAGATTATTTAGAATGAATAATCTTAACTAAGTTGTAGTGGTCGTGACAAGGATTCCAGATATATAAAGAATGTCGAAATATGAGTTATAACGAAGAAGTTATGACCTATCGAAGTTTCGCGACAGAACCGACATGACACAACGCGACGTACATAGTGAATTTACGATAGAGCGCTATGTAGCCTTAGCAATCTAAACGAAAGTCATAGAATACGTTAAACCGAGAGCATGCATAAAAAGAACGTTTAAATCTGACTTCGTATGGGGAAGTTATGATTTTTCGAAGTTTCGACTTAGCGGTATGTAACCCAAAGTTCGAATATAAGATCGAGTGGTTTCTAGCCGAAACAATCTAAACGATAATCGAAGATCTCGTTGATCTTAGTGCAACGGTGAAAAGACAGTCGAAAACGGACGTCAGATAAAGGAGTTATGAATTTCTAACGGAGTTTTCCTGTCCCGGCCTACTAAAAACAATATATTAATAATATATTAAAAATAAAGTCAAAATTAGCTGACGAAGTCTTAACGAAAGTTATGAATTTCCGAAGTTCGGGGCACGAAACCCCAAAACTGTCAGAGACCACGACGTGAAAACAGTGTTCACGACGCGTTTCGAGCCTAGAAGTCACACGGCGAGCCTAGGGGATGATCAGGATCAAAAGTCACGACGTGAACAAGCCTGGTGCACGATGTGAATGTCGAATTTGCACCGTATAAATAGATGTCGTGGGCTGCCGAGTTATAGTGCTCAAATTCTTCTCTCTCACTTGTTATTTCCTCGTTTTGCATGCAACTTATACCCCGAAGCCCCGGTATCAATCCCAAAACCCAAAGAATGTCCCGAAGCCCCGAAGATCCCGAGAAGTAAAGTTTCCGAGCCGAAACTCTGCCCGCGAGAGGCCAGATTTTCAAGGAAGCATCCCGGTTTCACCGAAGAATTATACATTTAGAGTCGTAATGCATTTCGATCATCATCTTATCAAGTGAGTGTGTAGTTACTTTCTTTTAACACATAAATATGAAGTATTTGCTATGAAATACGTGCTACGTGTTTATATATTGTTGTTTATTTGAGATGAGTGTGGAATGGATGTTTTATATAGTTTTTAAATCAGTTAAACTGTATATGTATTTTATATCTACAAATATAGGGATGAGACATCTCATAAAGCTTTTAAGCATGTTGTCCTTCTTACATTTGATTCTCTGACATATTTTGTCATCTAGTGTTGAGTTGTGAAAAAATTCTCAATTCATAGATGTTTTCCCAAGTCAAAGCCTCTGATATCCGAGACCCTCTCAACATTTCAGACCTCTCCTTGCACCACAGCTCAAATTCGAGAAGCCTCTCAATCTGAGACTCTTCGCATCTGAGGTTCATGCAGTCCGAAACATCAACAGTTCCAAAGTCTCACTCAAGCTGGAAGTCTTGCTTCGGACATCAAGAGCATCCTTCGCAATCCGAGATCAACTCTATCCGAGATGCCTTCCGATCCGAGATGCCTCGCATTCCGAGATACCTCGTTGTTCCAAGAAGGATTACATTCCGAGACTCGCCTTGCCTTCCGAGACGCCTCTTATTCCGAGATGCCCTCGCATCTCGGACTACCCACCATCTAGAAGATCACCTCAGAGCCACCACTTCTGAAGCTTTGCTCAGTCACCCATGTCGGACCTGCTACAGTATTTGCGACATATCTTCCAAATCCTTCTACATTCCGAGGTTCTCACTTCTAACCCTCTCTTCCCTTCGGACCATTCTTAATTTTCTTGGTACGGGTTTTCTTGTCCGGGGCCACCATGATTTTTTTTATTTTATTTAAAACCAATTCTTTTATTTTTTAATACCAATTCTTTTTATTAAAACCAATTATTTTATTAAAACCATTTTTA